CCTACCTGGGTAGTTGTGGACCAGGGTCGGGGACACCCCTCGGTAGGAGCCCCCGCCGCCCTCACACATGGCCAGGTACGGGGGGTAGGAGGAGTGCTGGTACTGGATGTAGGGCTGCTGGGGGGTCATGGGAGGCGACACCGCCGCCCGGGCGCTCTGCGACTCCTCGGCCAGGCCTCCCATCGCCTCCTGGCCCGGGTCCTCCAGCGCCTCCAGCCGCTCCGGGTCGTCGGCGTCGATGGCGGGCGGGAGGTCGTGGGCTCCCCTGGACTTTTTAGCCTCGGCTCCTCCTCTATCCCCTCCCCCTGAGGTCATCTTGGCCCCGGCCGGCTCCACGGTAGCGCCCCACTCTTTCCCAGTGTCAGCTTCGCCCTCCTCGGCCTCCTCGCCGTGCTGAAGCTCTGAGTATTTGCTGTGAGCGAGGCGGTGAGCCCAGGCCGGGCCGTCTGAGGGCTAAATCGATGGGGACAAGAGTTGGTGCGAGTCGCAGTGTTTCCCCTATAATTCTTTGCTAACAGAGGTGGATGGGAGTCGTTTTGGGGTCATTTCAGCTCCGCGTCTCTGTCCCGGTTTAACAGCTTTTTTTCCACATTACGTCTAAATATTTTGGTGTTACTGTTTTAGCGTTCTGATTCTGTGTAGCTGGGGCCACCGCTGCTGATCGAATATAGAGGAAACACTGAGTGAACAGAGCCTTAGACAGAGCGCCTATCACTGGCTCTGGGTGGGATGCTGATGGAGGATGACGACGTTTGGACAGCCGGCGGCCGGTCGGAGGTGGGATGTCCCGCTCAATGAACCAAGACACACATGATCAAGTGCAGAATTCAGGCCAACCTCAAGCTTTTCACATGACCCGGCATGGACAGCGGCTTCGCTAAAAATCTGTACAAGCTTTCGTATCAAAACCAACACTTAACGTAGAAGAAGGGTTCACACATTTCTTTCATTAATTCCCACTTTAACCCTCTGAACCTCCCCCAAAAAAAACCTGCCGGCAGGTTTGAAACGCATGTTTCTCTGAAGAAAAAAAATAAAAAGGCTAAAATTACACCATTGACTATAAAAACAGAAAGATTCGTCAGAGTTTCATCTTTCTGACAGGCCTTGAACTCCTCGTCTGAAATGTCTTGTTCTGTTGGGAAACCAAACCTGAGGTTAAAATTGTGATATTTCATTAAAATCACAATCGTGTCTCATTTATGTACACAGTGAATAAACTTTAATGTTCAGTTGGAGCTGTTTCATGATCATCTCGGAGGCTTTCGTTGTGCTGCTGTTCAAGTAGGGACGTAAATGGTCGATTGTTAATTGCAGCTAATAATTTAATCAAATGAAAAATATTAAACAATAAGGCAGAAAACAAAAGACATGCATGTCAGAAAATGTGTTGAGGTGAAGTCATGTTATCTTGAAAAATCTCTTTTTTTAAATCGTCAAAATTACATCAGTTATCAGCCAGAAAACAGAATCAGCAGGTTTTCAACTTCCAGACAGTCCTTAAACTACTCATCTGTGACTTGTGGCTCTGTTGGGAAATTTAACCAAATCCGAGCTTAAAAATGTGATACTTCATCGAAATCACTTTATTTTACAGTTAAAAAATCACCAAAAATAAACCCTTCGCTCAAACCAGACTTGGCAACAAAAGGAACAATTTTGTGTTTCTCAGGAAACCGTGAAGCCGCGATGGACTCCGCTGTGACCAACAGTCATGTGACAAGAATTCAGGGAGTTTTTGGTTGAACTGCAGGCTGTGCTTACACAGAGCAGAGACATAAACAAGTTAAAAATATGTTTTGCTGCAGTACTAGTAACACCTGTGGAGAATGTCGTGCATGTTGTTTCCAGGTTTTTACCAATTTTTGTTGATAAATAATCCAGAAAATGTAGCTCAGTTCTCCACAGAAGTGCAGGACATCATATTGCAGTGAAAAATGAGCCCACGTTGTGACATAAGCAAATAAAAACACACCCAGAAACTTGCCTGGAGTTCAGAGGGTTAAACATCAAAAACATGTGCATCCATCAAATCAAACGACATGACTGGAGTCGAAGTACAGCACCACAGAAGCCACACGGTCGTTGATATTAGCACCTATCGGTTTTAGCTGTACACAATTAATCTCTTTGCGACACCCACAGCGGTCATCAAAGCACCACAACAACAGCATCAGCGGCGGCGGCGGGTTATAGACAGAGGGAGAAACTTACACTGGAAAAGGAAACATTTGAGTCCAGATCTGTCTGACTGTTTGGGTTGTGGAGTGATGAAGAAGAGGAAGAGGAGGGCGACTTGATGTCATCGCAGTCTTTGATTGAGGCCGGGTGCTGTTCCACCACGCCGCCGTGCACCGCCTTCACGCCCAGACCCTGTCCCCTTTCTCCCCTCTCACTCATCTCCACGTAGGACAGGACGGGTTTGGGGCAGCAACCTTTAGCACCGTCGGCACCTTTACCGAGCATGGGTCCGCTGGCCGGACCCCCGACCATGTGTTTGACCTCGTCACTGTCTCTTGTCCCCCTCTGCTTGGGCGTCTGGTCGCAGCACTTGGAGGCCAGTAACAGTTTCTGGTCCATGTAGAGTCCTCTGGAGTACTGGCCGTAGTACAGCGACTGGGCCAGCGCTGTCTGGGTCTGACTCATAGCCAGCTGCAGCTGAGACTGAGGCGGTCCGTCGCCTTTCTTTGAATCCGAGAACTCGTGGGCGGAGCTCTTATCGTCCTCTTTTATCTCTTCTTTCCTGTCTTTCCCTTTGCAGTCGTGGGAGCTTTTGTGGAAAGCGACGCCGCTGCTGTTCTGCCGGTCCGACTGCATGTAGCCCTGCAGGTAGTAAGGCTCGTAGCCGTGGTAGTACGGGGACTGGGGGTCTTTTGGGGCTGACGGCGTGGGCGGGGTTTTCCCGGAGTTACCGTGGTTGCTGTTGGAGCTCACCTCAGAAGAAGCCGATGAGCTGGACTTGGATCTGAGCCCGTCGGAGCGACACTCGGAGGATCCCCCGTCGTCCCCGGCATCAGAGATGTCGGAGTAGGCGGGGCTGTTGTTCTTGCTGCCGCTGTCTGCCGTCCCCAGGCAGCTACCGCTCGCATCAAGCCGTGATGAACCACCGATGGAGGGACTTGGGGCGTTATCGGTGAAGGTGTAGACCTTGTCGGCCTCGGCTCGGATGCTGGCCATTCTGCTCTCCTGGCTCTCTGTGAGTCCGTTCATTACGTCCTGCTTGCTCAGGTGCTCCTTCAAAAGGCTTCCAGAGATTTCCTTGACACCCATTTTGGATCCGCCGCCACCGTCTTCCATTTTGATCCCGCTGCTGTCGCCATTTGGCGTCCTGGTTGGCGCATCTTTGTTGTGTTTGTCCTTCAGCCTCCGTTTCTCCTTCTTCCGGGTCTCCTTGCAGGTCACCAGGGTTGCTTTGACGAGGCTTGGCTCCACAACGATGCTCAGCTTTGGTTTGATGGGTTTCAGTGGGAGGTTTTTACTGGTGAGGCCGACGGCTGCCATTGGAGACGGCTGCTGGGAGGTGACCGGATCTGAGGTGCCGCTCGGATACGCCGTGTTGGGTATGGCGATCAGTTTGGGCGGAGCGGGTGCCGGAGCGATCGGCCGGTTGGTCCTGGACTTGGACAGCTTCTCGACCTTCCCGTTGGCCTTCTTGCCCTTGTCGCAGGCTCCTCCCTTCTTTTCGATCAAACCTTCGGCCTCCAGTTTGGGCATCTCCACCGAGGAGTTCCTGTCCGGGACCATGCAGTTCTCGAGAACCACGGTCATGTTGGAGATTATGGGCAGGTTGCTCAGGTCGTCAATCAGGCCATCTTTCAGCAGCGAGGTTCTTCTGGTTTTGGAATTGGCGGTGGGGCTGTGGTCGGTGCTGAGCAGCAGCCGCCTGTTCTTTGGAGAACCCACCGTGGTCACCTTGTACAAGGGAGCAGGTTTCTTCGAGGAGCTGTTGGTGCTGCTGTTTGTCTCCGAGAGGTCATACGTCATGTTGTTGATGCCGTCTTCGCAGTCGGAGAGTCGCTCCTCGCTCTCCCCGTCCTTCATGGGCTCCAGCTCAGGCTTCCTCTGCTCCTCAGCCTCCAGGTGTGCATGCGTCTGGTGGTATCGCAGGCCGTTGATGTGCTTGTAGCGTTTAGTGCAGTTGGGATGGGGGCAGTCGATAAGGATGGGCGGGGGAGGCGGTGAGGAGCCACAACCTCCTCCCGGATCCATGAACGAGGGGTCAGATTTGCCCTGCGGTGTTGACGGGGCGCTCCGGGATTTCGCCCGGATCCTCTTCCCGTTTCCGTTTTTAATGTCGTCCGAGGAGACCAGGCTGAGGTCCAAGTCGGCCGGCGGCTTGTTCTTGCGCTTCCCGGAAGAGAGGGAGGAGGCACTGTTGGCCGGTTTCACCTCCTCCACGGTGAAGAAAGACGGAGGCGCTCGGCAGTTGCTGTTGATGAGGTTCAGGCTGCCTCTCCTGCCCTTGCTGTGGATGGGGGGTGCTGCTCCGGCGACGCCACCTCCGCGGCTCCGGTGCTGCGATAGACCCCGGACTTTGGCGGCGGGCGTCGGATCCACGCAGGGCCGATCCGCCATTGCCATTCGCATCCGCTTCCCCCGACCTCGACCGCCGGGCAGCTCCGGGTCGCTGGAGGGAGACTCGCAAAACCTGAACAGAAGAAGAGAAAATAATAGAAGAGAGGCGCTTTTTATTAATGAAGGCGTAGCATTAATTGGGCGTTAATAACTCTACAAAGCTGTACATTTAACAGAGACATGATTCTTTGCCCTATTTTCCAACCTCAGCCCATGACCTTGTAAAAAACTGAAAATATCACCCAAAATATAATTAACATTACTTTTGATATACATACAGGCGGCAAAATAATTTAAAAAATGGAAAAACAAACAAACAAAAAAAGGCACAGAAAACACACAAAAAGAAAAAAAATTGACAAACACAATAATAAAAAGAAGAAATACAAAAATATACAACAATAATAACACAAAAATAAATTGATCACTCCCCACACGACTACAAATCTTTTTAATTCTTTGTTGTTTGTGATTTGGCTGACACTCGGAGGATGTTTTTAAGATAATATCAAGAAAACAGGTTTGAAATAAGTCAACAAACGACGTTTCTCATGTTGGTGACCGATAGCGTTGTGTTCTGATCTGTTCTAACAGTGACGTTCTGCACAGACTTCGTGAGTAAAATGCTTGTTTGTTTGGTCTCTGTGTTTTCATGACTGTTTGATGAGACCAAATCGATCAACCAATCGATCGGTCGAGCCGAACGCCGCAGCGTCAGTACAATCTTTGCGGTTTCATTTTTGTTTTGTGTTGTGCTGCGACAGATTCTCAAATCCCGTCTTCTCGCTGTCGTTCTCGAAAGATCCTCGCCGACGTGTTCGTCTTGTCACCCAAACTGAACCCCGCCGTCAGACGGATAAACCTCGGAAAGATAACGGATTCGGGGCTCGTGTGAACCACTTCACCCAGACGTCGAGCATAAAAATTGATTTTTTTCTGTACAAAGCCTGCTCCTCTTTTGATAACATGAAAAAAAAAAAAAAAAAAAAGCCCTGTTCAATCCGCAGTTATCTCTGTATTTGATACGGAGACATTTTGTATTCGCTCGCCGTCCCTTCGACTTTGAAGTCCTTTGATGCTGTTTACCACGGCACCTTGCATCTTAACACTGGAGATGCTTTTCCGCGCTCGCACATTGTTATTTATATCAGAAACCTGTCTGCTGTGATGAGGAAAACTTTGCATTTATCCACATTCCTGAACCCTTAATGCATTAATTATGACACCTTATCGCAGCCCTGGTTGGTGTTGAACTCTCAATGGATGAATTCTGACCTTGGAAAGACTGTTTTTGGGTATTAATCACCTTATTAATGGAGGAGGCTGCAGAGCACGTTGACACCAGACTTTCTTGTCCCCCTCTGTGATTTCACAACGATGATATCTCACTTCTCCTGTGATGTTTGTAATTGCTTTTTTTTTTTTACATCCCTGAATGTCACCGATGCTGCTGCAAAAACAAGGCAGCTGAAATTTCTACAGATTTCCTTTTGACATTTCAAGGACGTTTGTCGCCTCTCGCGTCACGTGTTTTTTTTTTAAAGAAAATGATATTTTTAATTTGATGTTTTGGTTGCGGCTTCATTCAATAATGAATCATCAAAGTGGAAGCGTTTTACTCCCATTGATCCGTATAATAAAACCACGTTTGGCGACCGCTGACAGACAGTGACAAGAGTCCAAATGAAAAAAGCAATTTAGCCCCCGCTTCCTGAGATTAAGCCGTAATCGCCATGACAACAACCATTTACATACAGGAGCAATAATTGAGAGGTTTCAGCCGAGCGAGGAGGGACTGTCACATTTTCCACTTGGCAATTACAAAAAAAAAAAAAAAGAAAAAGAGAAAGAAAAGCCCGCTCTGCGTTAGTGAAACAGTCGGACAGAGAGCGACTCTGTTAAATCTCATCAGCTGACAGCCAGTTTGGCCTCTTTTATCATTTCAGCAACATTAAAGCTCTTTGAAGAAATAAGTGCTCTTTTCAGCTGATCAAATAAACAATCAGCAGCAAATAAAGGCCAATGAGGACGACAATAAAACGCCATCGATCAAAGCGGGGGAAATAAGCCGAGCAGGAGTGTGCTGGGAAAATTACACAGCGCTCTCCCCGTCATTAAAATGTTTTCATGGCTGGATTAAGAATTGATTTTGAAATATAATTTTTTCGGCCCGACTTCACCTGCAGATGGATGTTCACGGCAAGGCCAAGAAAAAACCAAACCGTGGTCGCAGCGAGCAAACAGATGTTTAAAGGACTGGAATTCATAGTAAGAAGCAGCTCATGGTGACTGTATTAGACGCTGCACTTACAGGAAAAAGGGTTTTTAATATTAATATTTCATTACATCATTTTAATCGCCTTTTTCTTTTACAGCAGTTTACAAAAAGAATGTCAATTAATTAAAAATCCAAAGTGCAAAATAAGTGATTGCATTACGGTATAAACATCTGTAAAGTGATTCACCGAATTTATTCTGTTTTATTTGTATTTTACCAGGAAGTCCCTTGAGATTAAAATCTCTTCCTTTTTGCAGAAGACCTGGTTAAGAGGGCGATCCAGTTATATACAATTATACTATTTCAACTCAGGTGCAGGAAGTTGGTGCCAGAAGTCACATAATTAGTGAAGTAAAGATCATCTGAGGTCAGTGAATGAGTCTCAGTGATGGTAGCATAAAGACTCCTGGATCTGGAAGGTCCAGTCTCTGGTGGATCAGAACTCCTGGATAGAACCACACCATGAAGACTGAAGAACCCTCCAAGAACTCTGTGGAAAGGTTGTTGAGAAGCTTCAGTCAAGAGACGATACAAGAACATTTACAAGTTACTGAAGATCTCTGGAGTCCAGTTAAATCCATCATTAAGACATGGAAGGAACATGAGTAGATCTGACTGGAGCAGGACGTCCTCAGAGACTGAGTGACCGAGCAAGAAGGAGACTAGTGAAGGAGGCCACCAAGACTCCTATGACTCCTCTGAAGGAG